ATTAACTTCTATTTTTGAGGCTTAACATTATTTCCTGTTTTTTTGCTACTAAAAATAGTGTTGTAGAGGACAGCCTTGTGGGTAAATCTTTGCACACAACTTAATTATGTCCTTAGGATAAATTCCTAGATTGGGGATTGCTCCTACCAAGATTTTGCTCTTTGCAAGGCTTTTAATATGTGTTGCCAAATTGCCCTCCAGAAAGGATAGACCAATTTATATTCCAACCAGTAGGGCATGTAGAGTATTTCCTTCATCCACTTGCCAACTCTGAATTTGTATTATTGAGATTTTTCATCTTGGCCAGTTTAACAGAGGAAAAATGATCTTTATTTATTTTAATTTATATTTATTTGAGTATTAAAGTTTTACAGTTTTCCATAAAGCATATTGGCTATTTGTCTTTTTCCTTTTGCAAATCGCTTTTTCATACTATTTTCCACTTTTTCTATTGGGATGAGCATCTTAATAGTATAGATTTATTAAAAGTGTTTTTCTATGAAGGGTGTGAACTGCTATGAAGGCCCTCTTTAAAAATGTCAAAAAATTTTCACCAACGTGCCCACCTGACATCTGCTATACTTTTAAAATAACAAATAAAATGAATGATAATAAGAACTAATATTTATATAGTGCTTATTATATGCCAGGCATTATACTATGTAAAATAAACCTATGAGATAGATTCTGATATAAGTCCCTTTGGACAGATGAGGAAACCAATGAACTGTGCAGGAGTGGTTCATTTTCTCAAGGTTACATAGCTTGTGAGTGGCAGGGCTGGTATCAGTTGATTAACAAAACACACAGTGACATAGAGCTTCTATGAATTCAATAACATTTAATAAATTTGTTCATCACAAAAGTACCTACATCCATTTGCAAATCTAGCTTATGTATAAGTTCAGGGCATATGATTTTTTTCTCAGGCAGTGCTTGCTGGGCATATAAATTCAACAACTCTGTAATATAATTCCAATCTTTCCCCAATACCCCCATGGTTTACTGTTAAGAACCATGTTGGACCTTATATTTCCGGGAAGGGGAAACTGAGGCTCAGGGCAAGGCAAGACATTGCTCTGAGTCACCTACAAAGTTGATGGTATAGCCAGGACTGAGACCCCGGGCACAGGATAGCCAGCCCAGGTCCATGTGTGCCTTGGGCCAGCCTCTTTGTTATCAGCGGGGACAACAGAGGATGCTGTGGTGGTACCAGAACAGACCTGCTAGACTTTCATGGTGCCAGCCTCTAGGGAAACCAAGTCCTCTGGCCACACTGGCTGCCGGGCATTCCAGGACCCTGGCACCCTGCCAAGCGTGAAAACAGAGCTGCAGGCTCCTGAGCTCCCTTCTGCCCCCTCCTGTGGGTTTGCATCTCATTGCTGGGTTTGCAACATGCCTAATCTCTGCGTGTGCAGACTCAGAGGAGCCAGCTGAGAGGGAGCAGTGCCAGCAGCTTGCAGTCCTCCATGAGGACTGCCCACCACCCCTCCCCCAAGCCCCTCACTGGGCTGGAAGGGCCACAGCCATCTGCAGAAACGGTTTCTGGAGCTTGACTTGACTCAGACCTTACAGTGCCCACTGAGATGGACTCAATGAAGGACATAAGCCCGTATTATCTCTCCCTTCCCAGATGGAAGTTTATTTGATCCTGCCACATCTCATTTCTCCCTCTCTGCACCCACGGCCTTCCTCACAGACACAGAAAGGAGTTCTAATGTGCATCGGTCATGCAAGTGAGGCTTGATTCTGGTTCTCCAGGCACCTGGACTCTTCCAAGAATGGAGAGAACTTAATTGTGCAGACAGTCAATCAATAGGTGTCAAATAACGAGTACTCTGTAACCCATCATGTTTCCCTTTTTGCTTTAGCTGCCAGGAGACTCAGAAGAATGGAAAGCTAGATCACTAGCCATCTTAAAACAGGCTCTCAGTATAATTCTTGGTGTCAGTCTTTCTCCATGAGGTCTCTGGTTGCTCAGCTGTCCTGTTAAGTGTGTGTTTGTGTTATAAACCATCCCAATTCTTTTACATGATGCAGGTGGGATGTACATGAAAAATAAGACATGAAAAGAAGTGGCCTGTGGACATCTCTACTTTGAGATACAGATGAATGCTTTTCTCAGAAGGGGACGGTTTTCCTGGGACCATTTAAGACTTAGAAAAATGGCTGTGTGCCTTTTCCCTTCTGTCTCTCAGTCTTCCTTTCCCTTCCTACCTCCTTCTTTCTCCCCACTTTCTTCTTTTTTCCCTCTTTCCCTCTATCTTTTATTCTTTTACTATCGCCTACTTTTCTCTCCTTCTTTTCCCTCATTTTTAATCTCTCTTCCTTCCATCCCCTTTTTCCTCTTCCTGCTCACCCCCTTGCCTCTGGGGTTAACCAGTTTAATGTTAATATTCCTTACGAACCCAGAGCGCTTGACTCTTTCCAAGGCCTTGCTCCCGCCTTTGTTTCATTTATTCCTCATGGGGATAACCTGGCAATTACGATTATTTCCATTTTACCGGGAAGACACTAATGCCTAGAGAGTTTAAGTGATGTGCCCCCTTGGTCACACAGCTTATACTTTACAACTTATTAGATTCAGGCTCTAGGCCTCATGAGTCTTAATTCCATCACATTCTCCACTGCACCTCACTGCCTCTCAAAGCCAGCCTCACCCACCTTGCCCGGCAGAGACCACTGAGAATGCATCCAAAGGAGAAGAAGATTCAAAACAATAACCCACCCCCTCTTTTTCTCCTTCTGAGGTCTCTCTTAGAGCTGAGATTCTCATGGGGGCCAGCAGGACATATTAGAGGCAGGCAGTGTATTATGACATGGGTCATTTGGTCATTCATTCATTTGGCAAATATTTATTGAGAGTATACTATGTGCTGAGATAAGGCTGAGACCAGGGTAAGGCAAGCAAGGCACCTAGGGTGAAAATCTTAAGAAGGCTTTCACTCTCAGGTACCATTCCTACAAGTGGATGACCCTGAGAATGGGTGCCTCCTTCAAGTTTATGCCCTACCTCCTTTCTTGTCTTTGCTAGTTCTGCCCTGATGCCAGGCACTGTTACAAGTGCTGGCAATTCAATGGGGAGCAAAAGGGCCTGCACTGCACCTTGTCCTTGGGGAGCTTATAATCTATTATGGGAAAAAGATATCAGTCAAATACTCAGGCTAACTTAAGACTGTTCTAAGTGTGACAAGTGCCATGAGGAAAGGGACATGGAGCTGGAGAGGGTTTTATGGATTGGGGAAGTGAGGGCTGAAGGATGGGAAACAGTTTATAGGTGTGTGTAGGTGAAGGGCACAGCAAGTTTACAGGCCCTGTGGCAGGGTGGAGCATGGCACACAGGTGGGGCTGGTGGAGGGCAGAGTGCCACAGTAGGAGAGCCCAATGCAAAATGGTCCCAAGCAGTCTGTTTCTAATATAATGCCAGAGCATGCAAACGACCGACCAAAAAAACCAACAAAAACAAAAACAAAAAACCAATCCAGTGGAGAGAGAATTCAACCGCCTCTCCCCCTCCCCCCTTAACGATATCCTTCATGCCCACCTTTCTGATCAGCTTTTTTCAATGGGTTGAAGGAACCCACAGACTGTGCCTCATCACCTCCAGACTCATCTCGGTCCATTTAATACAGCACTGTCTGTGATAGAATCTAATATTCGCCACGTTTTCCAGATGAAATGGGAGCACGCAGAGAAGTTAGATAACCTACTGTCTTAGTTAGCTTAGCTGCTGTAACAAATAGCCACAGACCGGGTGGCTTAAACGACAGACGTTTAGTTCTCACAGTTCTGGAGACTGGGAAGCCCAAGATCAGGGTGCTGGCTAATTTGGTTCCTGATGAAGCCTTCCCTCCTGGCTTGCAAACTGTTGCCTTCCCACTGTCTTCCCTGGAGAGAGTGAGCTCTGGTGTCTCCTCCTATTAGGGCAACAGCCCTATTGATTTAAGGCCCCACCTTTATGACCTCACTTAAACTTTATCGCTTCTTCAAAAACCCTGTCTCCAAATGGAGCACACTGGGGGTTAGGGTATCAACATATGAATTGGGGGAAGATGCAAAACATTCAGTCCATAACACCAGTCCAGGGGCGCATAGCTAATAAGTGGGATTTGATTGGCAGGCATTGCTGGAGCCAGGCTCCTAACCATTAGATGTAACTGCCTCAGGACGCTTGGGTGTGCACGTTGCCATCCAAATGAGAAGTGCTCCTCAGGGCAGGAATGTTCAGTGATCCCTTCCAAATCCACAGGGTCTGTCCCTGGCAGCTGACATGTGGGCTGAGGCCTGAACCCGGTTTGGTGATCCCTCTGGAAGGGGACTGGGCTGAGGGTATGGCATGGAGGTAAACCAGACCTGAAATTTCACGCTTGAATTGGTGAACAGGGGGTTCACCTGTTTCCAATATTACCCAGAGCGGGGCCTGGGTCTCCAGACTTTTCCAGGAATGGACTGCGTGCCCTTGGGCACGTCACTTGACACCTTCCTGCCCTAGGTTCCTGCCTCTGGAACCCATAACCCCTTCCCTCTCACGGGACTGGGGGCCATCCATGGGCTCTGAGGTCGGCCACGCACCAAGCTTGGAGCCCCTGGTACACTACTGCCAGGAGGCAGGCTAGCTGCAGGCGCCCGGCCCCCAGTCCAGGCAGTGCAGGTGGGGAAAGGGACGCGCGTGCGATGCGCGACCGGCGAGTTGGGTGGCGGTGCCTGTTTCGGTGGCGTCGCAGTCGGCGCTGCAGCCGGGCCAAGTCTGCGGCGGAGGCCGAGAGGGCGCGCGGTGGGCTGCTTGCTTGTGCATTTCGCAGACCTGCTCCGCCACCCGCCGGGCCGCAGGACCCAGCCTCCCGGCGCTATTACCCGCACCAGACGCCTGTCCGGCGCCCCCCGGCCCGCGCGGGGGCCGAGCCCGCAGGAGGGGCTGGAATTCCTCCCAGGGGGCCCCCTTCTGCCGCCCCTCCCGGGCGCTCGCTTCCTCCCGCTCCCCGCGCGCCCCCCTCCCGGCTGCCAGCCAACTGCGTGCCCCCGGGGCCGGCAAGAAGCCACATGCCCCCGCAAGGAATGCCGGGCCTGTCGGGCGGGGGGCGGGCGCTGGGCAGGGCTGGGCCGGGCAGGGAGCGCCCCGCCGGGAAGGTGGGTGAGAGGGAAGGAGCCAGCCCGCACCCTCGCCCGGCCTGTGCGCCGCCCCGGCCTGATCGCGGCATCTCACACTTTACCCGCCCGACACGCTGACGGGACGACCCGCGGGCTCCCGGGTCTGGGGGTGCCCTGGAGGCTGAAACAGGGCGGCTCGGCCCAGCCTGGGCAGCCCCCGCCCCCCTCCGCGCGCCCCCGTCCCGGCCGGCTCGGAGGAGGGGGCAGGCCGTCATGTTTCCCCACACCCCTCCCCGCCGCCGCCGGCTTTGGGGCCCCGGTGGGGAGCAGGGGGCTGATTAGCCGAGGAGCAGGGGTGTGGCCAGCGGGGCCCCGGGTAGTGAGTCACACACGCTGCTCGCCCAGTCCCGGGGCGAGCACGGTCCCAGCCCGAGCTGCGCGCTGCCCTGGCCCGAAGAGTGTCGCGGGGCTTGGCATGAGGACCCTGGGGTGCCGAGGGAGGGGCTGAAGCCCGACGCTGTGGTGGAGGAGGGCGGTAAGCACAACTGGGGAGACTCCCCTAGAGAGAGCAGGGTGGGGCTTGGAGTCAGGGCCAGCCCACACCAAGACCCCCGGGCCCCGCCTGTACCTGCTCTGAGCTGGCAAAGCGGGCCTGGCTGCATTCCCTGGCAGCCCCCGGACGAGGGGCTGCGCAGCCAGTCGCTGAGGGCCTATTTCATTTGCCTGCCCCCCTTGGCCCCAGCTGGACTTGAGTGGATCCCTCTCCTGCTCCCCACTGTAGAGTTGTGTGCTGAGGCTCCTGTGGGTTCCTCATACCCTTTGCCCTTTGGTCTTGGGGGTCTAGGCTGTCCAGCCCTGCCTCCTGGCCTGAGCTGCCCCTGGCCCCTGACCCCATGGGGCTGGTGGCTCCAGTCATCCCCAGGACCAGCCCGGGATAGAAATGGTATTTCCTCTTGGCGGGGTACAGCTGTTTTTGTTGTCTGTGTTCTCAAGCGCTTCCTCTGGGGATGGCAGGGAGGGTAACCAGACTCCACGGGACCCCCGATTGCCCTCTCCGCCACTCACCCCTCTTCCCCTGTCTCTTTGATCTTCTTCCTGTGCTGGTCCCGCCTTCCGTCCCCAGGACAGAATGACTGAGAACATGAAGGAGTGCTTGGCACAGACCAAGGCAGCCGTGGGGGACATGGTGACCGTGGTGAAGACAGAGGTCTGCTCACCACTCCACGACCAGGAGTATGGCCAGCCTTGGTGAGGCCCCTGTGTGGGGACAAGAGAGGGGAAAGGGGGAAATCGCTGGGCTGGGTTGGTGGGAGACCCTGGGGAGAGTTCCCATTCTCTGCCCACCACCCTTACTCTGCTCCAGACAGCTCCTGGGACCAGAGGTGAGCGCAGGCTCTAGCAAACCCCAAGCAGTGCCCCATGTGAGCCTGGGCCTGGTCTCAGGACGCCTCCCTTCCCACTTCCCCCTGCGCTGAAGGGGCAGGCTGGCTGGGACTCCTCTACCTGCCCCACATCCCCATGGCCTCCTGCCCAGGTCCTCGGCTTCTCTGCCCACCAGCCTCTCCCTCTCTGATGGCGTCTTTCCTTTCTGTACTGGCCCCTGTCCTGGCCAGCTCTAGGAGACCAGACCCCTCGGCCATGGAAGTGGAGCCCAAGAAACTGAAGGGGAAGCGGGACCTCATCATGCCCAAAAGCTTCCAGCAAGTGGACTTCTGGTGTAAGTGGAATGTGGGACTATTTCCTGGGCTACTCCTTTCTTCACCCCCCAACCCCCCACCCCATCTCACTTAGGGAATTGGTAGCCATAATACAAATGATAGACACTCATCTATTACTAGACACGGGTCTAGGTTTCAGTGAATTCTCCCCACTAGCCATTGAGGTGGCTGTTATTGGTCCTATTTTCCAGGTGAGGAGACGGAGGCTTGGTGGGGGTTAAGCACCTTGCCTCAGGTCCCATAGCAGCATACAGTTGCAATTCAAACCCAGACCCATCTGACTCCAGAGCGTGCTCTTTCTTCTACTTTTTCAGACTTGAAACAAAGGGAGCTAGCGAGCTACTGGCTTCCTTAGTGTTGGCAGGCATGTCCTTGAGCCCCCAGGGAGGGTACTGGGTTATTGCTACTGAAAACTCAGGGGCCTGTGGCTGGCTGGGGTGGAACCAGGGCTGGGGCTCCGGAGTACCATACAGTGTGCTTTCCACTGCCCTATGCTGTCCTCAGGGTGGGCTTCCTGTTCGCCCCTCAGCCTCCTCCATGGGGGTCCTACCTCCCGAAACAACTGAGGCTCTCTTTCCTCCTTCCATCCCTCCAGTCTGCGAGTCCTGTCAGGAGTACTTTGTGGATGAGTGCCCGAACCACGGCCCCCCGGTTTTTGTGTCTGACACACCGGTGCCTGTGGGCATCCCAGACCGGGCCGCCCTCACCATTCCACAGGGCATGGAGGTAGTCAAGGACGCCAATGGGGAGAATGACGTGCGATGCATAAATGAGGTCATCCCCAAGGGCCACATCTTCGGCCCCTATGAGGGGCAGATCTCCACCCAGGACAAATCAGCTGGCTTCTTCTCTTGGCTGGTGAGTGTCCCCTGGGCTGTGCCATGGGAGAGGGTGCCGACGAACATGGAAAGGAACCACCAGGGGGAGCCATCCCTCTTGCCCAGCCTGGCCCAAGAGCTTTTCTGCCATCATTCCTGGACGCGTGGATGATGGACCTTGCTGTCCCCTTGCCCCAGCTAAGTGGCTGCAACCCTTGGTGGCTGAGGGCTATGCCGAGGAGTTCACCTGGCAGTAGTCAGCAGACTCAGCGGCGGGGAGATTTCCCTGTGAATCCTCCTATGTGTACCTGGTGGGCCATTCAGTGGCATTTACGAAGGGTTTACCCAAGCCCTCCTCTGGAGCAGGTGACGTGAAGCTGGGGCTGTGGGGATGCAGAATATGACATTCGACTGAAAAAGGCAGTAATATCAGGTGCTAGGCTAGGTGCTGGAGGTGAAGGCTTCAACAAGACAGACATGGTCCCTGCCCTCAGGGAGTGGACAGTCTGGTGGGGAGAGCAGGCATTGGACAAGTACTTACACATGTGATAAGTACTGAAGGGGGAACACAGGATACTCTGGGAATAGTGGGACATGGCAGCGCTCATAGTGTTCAGGAATTTGGGGCCTGGAGCCCAAGTTCATTATGTCAGCCAGCTTCGCTATTTACTATCTAATGTGACCTTGGATGAGTCATTTAACCTCTGTGCCTGTTCTGTAACAGGATAATCATAGCTGATGGTGAAGATTAAATGAGTCAAAACTGTAAACTGCTTAGAATCGTGCTTGCCCTTAGTAAGCATGCAGTAAATATCAGCGATTGTTATTATTATTGTTGGCTTATATGAGGGCTTTGGACAAGATTTCCTTTAGCCTGAGACTTGGAGAGTGAGTAGCAGTAGTGGAAGAGGGGTGGAAAAACGCCCTGTGCAGGCAGAGCAGCTGAGAGAGAACCACGAGAAGTCCAGTGTAGTGATAGTAATGAGCCTGAGAGGCAGAGTGGCAAGAAATCAGCAGGAGAGGGAGGCAGGGGCGAGATCACACTGTGCTTCATAAACCAGGGTCAGTGCATTCTTCCTCCTGTGGGCTATGGGGAGCCATTAAAGCATTTCAAGCAGAGGTGTGACTCAGGTTGCGGAACGGAGAGTTGGGATTCCAGGTAGGAGGCTGGGGTGCAGGTTCAGGTGAGGAAAGATGGTGGTTTAAATTCGGGTGCTAGAGGTGGGCACATTTCAGAGAGATTTAGGAGGGGGAATCCCCAAGATTTATTGATATATGGAATGTGGAGATGAGGAAGAAGGGTTTTCGAAAATATAGAGGAAGAATGATCAAAGACGATTCTCGGGAGTCAAGCTTAAACAGAGATGGGGGGACATGAGACAGTAGAGATAGGCAAGCCAGGGCATAGGAAGATCATTCATTATGCATTAAATAAACATTTCTTGAGTCTCCTTTGTGCCAGGCACTGGACTGGCCCTGGGGTATAAAGGTAAGCCTCATCAGACATCGGTCCTGCCCTCATAGAGTTTACTGTGGGGAAGAGGGAATGAATCAAAGAATAAGATATATAACTAGAAAATTACAACTCTGAAAGGTAATGCAGAAAGCGAGACTAGGACAAAAGTGAACAACCAATGGAATTGATGTGGCCAGAGTTGGTGAAGGCCACCTGATAGTTGAGCTGTGATTGAAGGAAGAGAATGCCCACCAGGTGAATATTGGTGAGGGGCATCCGGATGGCTGGAACAGCATGTGCAAAGGCCCTGTGGCAGGAGAGATCATGGCGCATTTGAGCAATAGGAAGAAGATGCGTGTACATGGAGTGTAGCCAACGCAAGGGCCTGGAGGAGGACATCGAGGCGTGGCCATAGAGGGCCCAATGGGCCAAATTGGGACTTTTGTTCTTTACTTTAAGAACAATGAGAAGTCTTACTTATGTTTTGAAAGGGTGACTTTGGCCACAGCCTGGAGAACTGATGGGGGTTGGGGCATTGGTCAAGAACGGGAGCCCAGACCCCGGTTAGAGGGCTGTGGCCATTCTCTAAACGGACAGTGATAGAGGCTTGGGCTAGGGTGGGGACAGAGACATGGAGAAAAGTGAAGTGGTTTGTGAACTATTTCAGAGATGAAAGAAATTTGACTTAGACTAATTGGCCTAAGTAAGGGAGAGAGAAGTGTCAAGAACAACTCCTGCATTGTTCCTTTCCCAACAGATCAGGAATGGTGCCTTTCTCTGAAAAACAGGGAATGCCAGAGGGGACTGGGCTACGGGAAACATCCTGGTTTGGGTTTTGGACTTGTTGAGTTTGGAGTGACATCAGGATATCTAAGTGTCAACAAGTTGATATCAACAAGGCCGGGGGTGTGGAGGGCAGTCCCCAGGGAGAATGGGCTGAGGAAGAGGTGGAGAGGGTCTAGGACTCAGCTTTCAGGAACTTGAACAGTTAGTGGTTCAGAAGGGGAGCTTGATCCTGCAAGGGAGACAGAGAAAGAGCAGCCTGAGAAGGAGGGAGGCCAGAATGGCCAATAGGGTCAAATTCTGCTGAGAAGCTAAGCAAAAGAAGGGCTTAAAAATTTCCGTTGGATTTAGTGCCAGGGAAGTCATTGGTGACTTTAGCAGGAGCTGTTACTGTAAGACAGTGGTTCTCAACCTGAAGCAATTTGCTCCCGCCTCCCTCCACCCCTGGGCATTTGGCAACGTCTGCAGAGACATCCCTGGCCATCACAACTTGGGATGGGGATATGCCTACTGGCATCTAAAGGTAAAAGCCTGGGATGCTGCTCCACCTTTTATAATGCACAGGGCAGCCTTCCACAACAAAGAATCATCTGGTCTCAACTGTCAATAGTACTGTGCTTGAGAAACCCCGCAGAAGAGTGATGAGATGAAAACCTTGTTAGAATGGAGATGATCGGTATAGTCAATTCTTGGAAGTTTGATTAGAGATAAGACGTGGAGGAGAGACATAGGAGATAGGAAGGTTGATGGCTGGAGGAAGACGTGGGGTCAAGGGAGTTTGTTAATGAGAGACTATAACATCCTTAAAAAGCCCAGTGGGAGGAGTCCTGCTAAAGAAATGGAATGTAGAATAGAGACAAGGCATGATGGGTAAGCTTTTATATTACCTGAGAAGGTTCAGATGGAGACATTGGAAATGGAAAGGAGGGGGATGAACATTTTTCTGTCAGTGGAGGGATAATCCTAGAGGTTTGAGCAGATGGAGGGGGGTAAGTGTAATAGGCCAAATAATGGGCCCCCCCAACGATGTTTACATCCGGATCCTTGGAACCTGTGACTGTGTTATCTTATATGGCAAAAGGGACTTTGCAGATGGGATTATATTAGGGATCCTGAGATGGAGAAATTGTCTTGGATTCTCAGGGTGGGCCCAATGTAGTCATAAGCATGTTTCTAAGAGGAAGGCAGGAGAGTCAGTCAGAGAGAAAAGACTGGCAGGTGCTCGCCTGCTGGCCTTGAAGATGGAGAAAGGAGCCAGCAGCCCAGGAAGGCAGGCAGCCCCTGGAAGCTAGGAAAGGCAAGGAGACAGATTCCTCCTTAGAGGCTTCTGCAAGAACCCAGCCTTGCCAACATCTTGATGGAAGGACTTCTGACCTCCCAAATTGTAAGTTAATTAATTTGTGTCGTTTTAAGCCATTGTGTTTGTGGCAGTTTGTTACAGCAGCAGTAGGAAACTGACCCAGTGGGCTTAAGTATTTGTGGGGACATCTGCTAAAATATGTGGAGCGGTGCAGAGAGGTGGCCTGAGACTGAGGGGAATGGAGACGGTGAGTTCAGGTTGGGAGGAGAAACGTTTGAGGGACCCGTGAGATGGCCAGGTGGAGCTGCCCACAGGCTCATTGCTGCATGTGGGTCTGCAGCCCAGGGGAGACGCGTGGCTCTAGGGGAAATGAAGCATATAAGTTTATGCAGCTGAAGCCCTGGGAAGGCATGGGCGGTGGCGTCAGTGCTGTGGAGGGTGGAAAGCTGGAGGACTGAGAGTCCGCGTGGCTCAGGCAGCGCACAGGTCTCTGTGTCCTTGGCAGGGGCAGTTTCACAGCGAAAGCCCCATGGCCATGGACTGAGGCATGAGTGGGAGCAGGGGAGAGGGACCCAGCAAGGGTAGCTGCCTTGTTTTATAAGTCTGGCTGCTCATTGAGCAATTATTATATGCCAGGTGCATACCACAATCTTCCTTACAACAGTCCTGCAGGTGGAGGCTGCTGCCCCCATCATTCAGATGAGGGAACCAGGGACTGAAAAGGTTAAGTGCCCCCCAACTCCCATTGCTGGTACATGGTAGGTAGGCTTGGGCTCCTTCAAAGAGAGTGCCCCTCCATGATGCCAGGGGGCTTCAAGCAGAGACATGACTAAGGAAGACTGGAGATGGGTCTTGAAGGATGGGCAGAAGTTTGCTAGAGGAGGCTGATGGTTTCTCAGCCTGTGGAAAAAAATCTCTTGGGGGAAAATCTAGGGCCATGCCCAGGAAGAGCTGTTGGGATCCCCTTCTCCCCCCACCAGAGGCAGAGTCTACACCTGGGGACAGCCCAGTGGGCAATCTGGGGTCTGTAAAGCAGGCAGCTTCCCCAGGTTTGCAGCCTGAGTGGGTCTGGGGTCTGGAGAAAAGGGAAGCCGAGAAGCACTAGAGTTTGCAACCTGGCCATAGACCAGCTCCACCCACAGGAGTGGGTGTGGCCTGCAGTGCAGGGGTGGAGCCAGAGGCCAGATTCTTGCTCCCCTGGAGGAGGTTCCTTCCTAGGGCCTTCCAGCTGCAGCATGTGGGTGGGTGAGAAGAGGGAGTGGCTGGAGGTCCAAGGAACCTGTGGAGACTTTGACCTTTGTGATCCAGAGAAATGAGAGGCGTTGAAGGCCTGGAGAGAACAGATGTGCAAAATAGCTCAAGAAAGCAGGACGTGAGAGTGTGTGTGTGTGTGTCTCAGACGATGGTTTCACTGAATGGTGAGAGAGGAGGAAAAGGTGGGCTGAGCCACAGCCCTGATTTTGGATGGGGATCCCGAAGCCCCACGTCCTAAATAAGCTGC